GCTGCAGATGCCGAACAGCTGCGAGCTCAATCGTTCGAGCCCAAGTACTACATGACGGCCAACTGGGGCAGAGGTTCTCGTCGTGGCCCGAGTCGGCCACCTCCAGCTCCACGCTGCCGCGCGCAAGCTGGGTTCCAGAACGCCCTGCCTTGGATCTCGTAGTCCCGATGACCGAGGCGGTCTTGACCCCGCGCGCGCGGCGCTGCAGATGCCGCCCGACGCTGGGGGCCTGTAGTGATATATCTCCTAAATCTTAACTTTCCATCAAGCTAGGGCCCCGACGCGGGCCCCCGACGCCTCGGCCCCTGAACCTGAGTTCCCAAAACCAGCTAAGGCCCCGACGCGGTTCCCCGACACTTCGGCCTGGGGATCGCCCCAGCGGAAAGTTTCCGAAAGCCTCGAGTTGCCCTCTTAACCCCTCGGGCCCCTCCGGCAGCCCCATTCCAGAGGCCCCCCCTGGCCACTGCCGTCAACTGAAGCACTCTCGAGACAGCGATGCGATGACGCACTTCCCCTCGGCTTGAAGCGCGCGCTGAGACAGCTGCGGGAAGGGCCTGAACATCGAGGCGAGCACCTCGAAATCCTTCGCTGGAACTGGAGACCCGCCGGCCTGGATCGTGCGATGAGCCGAAAGAAGACGCGTCGAGGGCGCGATTGCCCCGTACTTATTGAACGTCAGAGTTCTACCCGGCAAAGCGACGCTTCCTCCCAGCACCCCTTGAAGCCCCACCGGCAAAAGTGGAAGCACATCCTGGGCGAGCGCGGCCAGCTCTAGCGCTCCCACGCGGCCTTCGACGCCCAGAGGAATCCACGCAGTCGGGAGGACCTGCGCTCCTCCTCTTGCGCTGGAATTCCCGGGGGGGGGAACCTTGGGACTGGCGAGCCCCTTTCGGGGCCCAGTGCTCGTCGATCTGATGCGCGCCAGGTTCCCCGACGAGACCTGAATAACAGCAGCGTCAGCAGGGCGGGGCCCCTCAAAGCACGAGGGGGAGGCGTGGTCGAGAGCGTTCACGCGCGAAGAAATCAATCCTGTTATTAACGTTTTTTCTTCTCTCGCCCCCGTGCCAGGGCTCTGTCGCTTCGGGCGTTCTCTGGGCCAGTGCCCTTTCTAGTGGCGCAGTCGGCGCCGGGAGTCGACTCTTGCGCGCTCTGAAGGTGCCGTCGGCTGTTCTGCGGCCAGGCTTGCGAGTCCCTTTGCGCCCATCGCCACCGGGGGCTGCGCCGGACCTGTCGTGAGACTTCCTGTCGGTCTTGAACTGCCTTTTCAGCTGACGGCCCGCGTGTCTCGGGTGTCCTGGCTGATCGCGGCGAGCGCTGCCGGTGCATTATCTTCGCCGACCTCTGCTGATTCCAGGATCGCCCAGACCTCTGCCTCGCCGTCGGAGTTCAAAGGGGACGCGTCAGAGTAGTCCAGCAGCGAGTCTTCATCGCCGTCGACCTGGTAGGACGGGGTTGGGTGAGGTAAAGCCTCTTGCACTGGACCCCTAGTCACGTAACTCCTCCGTGCCGTCAGGTGCTCGCGATGCGTGATGTCTATGTCTCGAATGGCGCTGAGCGTCGCCACGTAAGTCTTCTGATGCTTCATGAATGATGTATAAGGACGGTATTAACAAATCAGTATGGGGGGACCGTAAAACAATTAGTCTGGCAAAAGACCCACTCATATGCAGTTGTGGATACCGTCGTTGTTAGTATCGTTTTCGGTGGACCTCCTAATGGGGGCGCGAAGCGTGAAGAGTGTGCCACAATGGGGCGGGGCCGCCATGCGGGTTGCGCCACTGGGACCTTGGGTGGAGCTCCCCATGGGGCTACGAAGTGTGTGAAGGGGTGTGCTGAAATACGGCGGCGCTGGACTGCACCACTGGGACCTTAGGTCCCTATGGGGCCACGAAACGTGAAAAAGTGTGTGCCCAAATGGGGCGGCGCAACCAACCATGCGGACTGCGCCACTGGGACCTGAGGAAGAGCTCCCTATGGAGCCACGAAGCGTGTGAGTGGTGTGCCAAAATGGGGCGGCGCCGCGCCACTGGGACGTTAGGTAGAGTTCCCTATGGGGTCACGAAGCGTGTGAGACTCTGAGAGGTGTGCCAAAATGGGGCGGCGCCGCGATGCAGACTGCGCCGCTGAGAACGTAGGTGGAGCTTCATGTGGGGCCACGAAACGTGTGAAGGGGTGTGCTAAAATAGGGCGGCGCCGCCGTGCGGACTGCCCCACTGGGACCTTGAGTCCGGCTCCCTATGGGGCCACGAAGCGTGTGAGGGGTGTGCCAAAATGGGGCGGCGCCGCCCCTCGGACTGCCCCACTGGGAGTTCAGGTCCGGCTCCCGATGGGGCCACGAAGCGTGTGAGGGGTGTGACGAACACGATAACGATGATGGTGATGACGATGATGGTGATGCTGCTGGCCATGATGATGATGATGATGATGATGATGATGATGATGACGATGGCGGCCATGATGCTGATGATGATGGCGACGACGATCACGATGATTGATGATGATGGGAGGAGGTAAATTGCAAGGGGAGGAGGAGAGGAGGAGGAAAAGGGACGCGCGGCGTTCTTTGTTCAACACGAAGACCCAACACCACGGGATGGTTGGGAAATGATTTAACCCAGCGCTGTAGTGAGCATTTTGAAAACAAGAGGAAGGCGGAGCAACCCGGACCGCCTGGGACGTCCCCGCGACCGCCGTGGCGCTCCGCGCGCAAGGGCGGAATCCTGCGTACCCCCTCGTGGCGTCAGGCCATGCTTGCCACGCCCTGCGAACTTGGCATGGATAGAGACTGTGCTCAGGGACCACCCCCTGCGCACCCTGGGGCAACATAAAGCCATTCAGCCTCACAAAAACAACGGGTAACACGTGTCACCCCCGAAACCGTGTGAGAAACATCAATGGCAAATTCGGTATTCTAAAAGTCAACACGAGGCCAATCAGCCCCACAAACTTAAACGAGTGGCCTTATGTTGGCGCCCAAAATCCAAAGTTTACAAATGTTGTTTTGTGTAAATTTACACTGTGTACACATACATATATATATATATATATATATATATATATACAAACATACATGTGTGCATGTATCAATCGATTCGCTCGGCCCCCGTGGGGACAATTGAAACATTCGCCTTCCGAATGACCCAACCATACGCAGTTGTGAATACCGTCGTTGTTAGTATCGCCTTCGGCGGATCTTCTTATGGTGCCGCGAAACACGTGAAAATGTCCCGAATAGGGCACGGCGGAATTCCCTATGGGGCCACGAAACGTGTGAGGGGTGTGCCAAAATGGGGCGGCGACGCCAAGCGGACTGCGCCACTGGGACCTTCGGTGGAGCTCCCTATGAGGCCACGAAACATACGAATGGCGTGCCAAAATTAGGCGGCGTTACCATGCGGACTGCGCCATTGGACCCTTCGGTGGAGCTTGCTGTGGGGCCACGAAGCGTGTGAGGGGTGTGCCAACATGGGGCGGCGCCGCCATGCGGACTGCCCCACTGGGACCTTGGGTCCGGCTCCCTATGGGGCCACGAAGCGTGTGAGGGGTGTGCCACACTGGGGCGGCGCCGCCATGCGGACTGCGCCATTGGGACCTCAGGTGGAGTTCCCTATGGGGCCACGAAGCGTGTGAAGGGTGTGCCAAAATGGGGCGGCGCCGCCATGCAGACTGCGCCACTGGGATCTTAGGTCCGGCTCCCTATGGGGCCACGAAACGTGTGAGGGGCATGCCAAAATGGGGCGGCGTTGCCATGCGGACCGCGCCACTTGGACCTTAGGTGGAGCCGCCTTTATGGGGCCACGAAACGTGTGAGGGGCGTGCCAACATGGGGCGGCGCCGCAATGCGGACTGCGCCACTGGGACCTTAGGTCCGGCTCCCTATGGGGCCACGAAGCGTGTGAGGGGTGTGCCCAAATGGGGCGGCGCCGCCATGCGGAGTGCGCCACTGGGACGTTAGGCGGAGCTCGCTCCACTTCCAGCCTGCTGACCTTGAGTAGCTGTCCTTCCACGCGTGCTGATCCCAGCTGCCAGACCATGGGTAGTATGTCGGGGCTGACGTACACGACTGGCTTGCGGATGTCCATGGCTGTGCGCTGGTCTCCCAGCCCGACTCGCGCCACTCATGTCCTGCTGCGTTCCAGCCGCCGTCTCGCCATAGCTCCGACCTGCCATGAGGCGCCTCAGTGGCAGACGCTGCTGCGCCACCACCAGGCCATGCCTCGGCACTCGTCGACTCCCGTTCTGGCTGAGGATCTCGCCATCCATTTCACGAGTGCGTCTCCGTCTCTTAGCACCAGCTGTCGGACCCGTGCTGGCCCTGCCACTGCTCCCCGGAGGCGGCTCTGAGTTCCGCTGAGACGTCCTTGCCCTCCGTCGAGCCCCGCTGCGAGCTCGTAGAGCTTCCTGCCCCTGGGTGGATGTCAAAAGAAGACGTGCCAATTTCTTGGCCTCGTCCTGATCGACATTGAGACCCTCTTGCTGCATCAGTGTCAGCCACCGTGCGTATTGCCAAGTGCTCCCGTTGTTGTGCGGAGATGTCCGATTCAATGTATCATTCTGCTCCGCTGCTGCCGTCATCGGTCCGCGGAACCAGAGCTGCTCACAGCTCCGCTACCATTGTCGCCACACGGACGACAGTGGTAAGCTTTTCCTTCGGCAGCCCTTTTTCTTCGGCAAGCACACCTAGACTCGTAACAGTACTCACGTCCAAAACCGCACTGCACAGAAACGATAGATGAAAGGACTGGAACATGATTGGTATGAGCGGTGAGGAAAGAGAGTAACTGGTTTAGGCCTTGAGCCAAAATGGTTACGACCACTGCTTGTGACCTTCAAACTCAGGGATAGTACAGCACTGACATCTTAAAAAGTCGGCTTGTAGACTCGAATCACACACATCCCCTCCTCCTCCTCCTCCTCCTCCTCCTCCTCCTCCTCCTCCTTGAAGGCTGACTGCAGCGCTGTCGTCGCAGGTGGGGGTAGGCCAGAGCCCACGGCGGCGCCTGGTTCTCCAGCTTGGCCTGCTCCTTGAACTCGGCTAAGTCCACCAAGTACCTCTCTCGCCCCCGCACGCTTCGGCGAACGAGCGCCAGCGTGCGAAAGCATGCGGCGACGCGGTGTTTTCAATTTCAGTGCTGCCGTGCTTCCGCGCCTTCGGGATCCAGGGGCGGAAGGAGCAAGAACAAGGTCTGCCCAAGGCGAAGCAGATTCTGGGGCTGGGGTCGAGAGCTCCCAAGGCCACGTATTGGACAAGTCACAGCGCTGGGCTTACGAGTCTCGCTCTCACTCCCACTCCTTCTCCCCACTCCATACTCAAACGTGCTTTCGTCAGAAAGTCGTTGCGAGCATCCGACCGGTCAAACACCTCACGCAGTGTAGTCAATTCGAGAGGCGAGGCGGGAAGCGTAGTGCACTAGCCACCTTCGTGCCCCGCGGAAAGCTAAGACAGGCCTCATCTACATCCACTCCCACACCCACCCTCGCCTTCACCCTGACCCTGACTCTGACTCTGACTCTCACCTTCCTCCCGTGCATCTTCTGCGCTGTATGATCCCGCAGCGCTCTCCCCCACCAAGCCGTCCTTCATCACGCTCGCTCCGTTCACGGGGCACCTCCTCTGGCACGCTCTCCGGCGCGCTGCCGACTGGATGCGTATCGCGGATGAACGCGCGCGGGCAAACTCCTCAGGGGCACAACACAATGGCAGAACAATTGCAAATGCACTGCCTGCGGCGTTCACTACACCAGAACGGAAGGCCAAGGGGCCCTCCTGGAAAATCAAAACCGCACATGCACCTAAGGGCCTCCTCAGGCATCAAACTGTTTAAACTTTCCTGGCCCCTCGGCCCAAGATGATTCTAAGAGGGCGTCGGGTAAGCCAACGAGAAGCCAGAATATCCCTGTGGGGGACCCAAGAGGCCCTCCAGACGGCCCACGAACTGAGATGGCCCCAAGACGGCCCGAATGGCGCCCATGACAGCCCACGGGGGCCTCAAGCTGAGCCGAGAGGTGCCGTAAAGGCCCCCAACACGGCCCTGATGTACTCCCCGGGCGGTCGAGAGGGGCCCCACCCACACTGCCGAGACGGCCCAAGAGGGCCCGAAGGCGGCCCAAGGGGGCCCCAAGATGGCCGTACAAGCTCCGCTCATCATGGATTTGCCCTGGGCGTTTGCTCTTACCGCTGTGAACTCGAAGTGTTGGCAATCAGTTATGTTAGCTCTTTCAGGTCCCAACACAAAAAATCCACACTCACAATGTTTTGCGTTTTCAGATCTGATGTTGTCCATCGACGCTGTGCTCCCAGACATGTCCCACAGGGGTGTCAGAGCGTTTGTTGAAAGATACTCAGCTCTGCGAGCGGGAACCCCTTTCACCCTCCGTACCATGTTTGGATGGTTTGACGCGTACAGGAGAGCGGGAACGAAGACGGCAGGGAAGAGAAGGGGCGGCCTTCGACACGAGAACAGCAAGCGCTAACAAAAACACGATTCCACAGCAGCCAACCTGAAAACAAGAGACGCAACTATCAAAAACACTCAGAATCACCGCAGCGCGTTGTTGCGCCTTCCAGCATGTTAAGAGCAACTCTTTCTTGACATACATATATATATATATACATATGTATATATATATATATATAAAAATACCTAAATGAGAATTAGCCTGGCGAACGACCCGACCATATGCACTTGTGAATACCGTCCTTGTTAGTATCGCCTTCGGTGGATCTCCGTATGGGGCCACGGAGCGCGTGAAGAGTGTGACGAAACAGGGCAGGGCGGAGCTCCCCATGGGGCTACGAAACGTGTGAGGGGTGTGCCAACATGGGGCGGCGCCGCCTTGCGGACTGCGCCACTGGTACCTTCGGTGGAGCTCACCATGGGGCAACGAAACGTGTGAGGGGTGTGCCAACATGGGGCGGCGCCGCCATGCGGACTGCGCCACTGGGACCTTACGTGGAACTCCATCTGGGGCCACGAAACGTGTGAGGGGTGTGCCGAAATGCGTCGGCGCCGCCATGTGGACAGCGCTACTGTGCTCTTAGGTGGAGCTCCCGATGGAGCCTCGAAACGTGTGAGGGGGTGTGCCAAAACGGGGCGACGCGTTGCGGACTGCGCCACTGGGACCTTCGGTGGAATTCGCTATGGGGCCACGAAACGTGTGAGGGGTGTGCCAACATGGGGCGGCGCCGCCATGCGGACTGCGCCACTGGGACCTTCGTTGGAGCTCACTATGTGGCCATAAAACATGTGAGGGGTGTGCCAAAATGCGTCGGCGTCGCCTTGCGGACTGCGCCACTGGGACATTAGGTGGAGCTCTCTATGTGGCCACGAAGCGTGTGAAAAGTATGCCAAAATGGTGCGGCGCCGCCATACGGACAGCGCCACTGCGACCTTAGGTGGAGCTCCCCATGGGGCCACGAAGCGTGCGAAGGGTGTGCCAAAATCGGGTGGCGCCGCCATGCGAACTGAGCCACTGGGACCTTAGGTGGAGCTCCCTGTGGGGCCACGAAGCGTGTGAGGGGTGTGCTCAAATAGGGCGGCGGCGCCAGGCGGACTGCGCCACTGGGACCTCCGGTGGAGCTCCCTATGGGGTGAGTGGTGTCGCCATGCGGATTGCGCCACTGGGACCTTCGGTGGAGCTCACTATGTGGCCACGAAGCGTGTGAGGGGTGTGCCAAAATGCGGCGGCGCCGCCATGCGGACTGCGCCACTGGAACCTTAGGTAGGTCCCATTATGGGGCCACGAAGCGTGTGAGGGGTGTGCCAACATGGGGCGGCACCGCGTTGCGGACTGCGCCACTGTGACCTTATGTGGAACCACTCATGGGGCCACGAAACGTGTGAAGGGTGTGCCAACATGGGGCGCCGCCGCCATGCGGACTGCGCCACTGGGACATTAGCTGGAGCTCTCTATGGGGCCAACATCCTCATGCAGTCGAGAAAATCGTATCGCCGCTGGTTGGAGGAAGTTTCATCTTCTCAAAGAAGAGCTCACTGGGCGAACGCACTCCCTTCATGACCGGGTCAGGTTAGTTCATGGCACAATTACTGCATCAATTTTATATGGATGTTCATCGTGGACTCTGACTTGCGAGCTCGAAAACCGGCTGAAGCGCACGCAAAGACAAATGCTCCGCATGATTGTACGCCAGCCTCGCCGCCGGGTAGCAGATTCAACCAGTGAGCCTTGGGATGCGTGGATCAAGAGAACCACCCATGAGGCTGAGCAAGTTCTTTCACAATTGGGGATACAGGATTGGGTAACCATACAACGTCTACGGAAATGGCGGTGGGCAGCGAAAGCAGTCCGTGAACCATGGAAATGGGGGTACAAAGCAATAATTTGGGATCCTTCACTGGGTCTGGACAGTTCTGTGCGACGTAGACAATCCCGCCCAAAAACCCGATGGACAGACGACATTGTGAAGTACACGAACAACCCAGATTGGTTTGAAAATATTGATGACGCTATTTGGAACGATCTCGAGGCCGGATTCTTGTCGCACGGTAGAGTCTGAGCCGGCATTCTCGGAGCACTGGTGTTCTGCATTTTCCGGGGCGCTCCGGCCCCCAACCCGCCTAGTCCCCTCGCAAGGACTCTTGTGTGCGGGCTCTTGCTCTTGCTCTTGCTCTTGCTCTTGCTCTCTATGGGGCCACGAAGCGTGTGAAGGTGTGCCAAAATGGGGCGGCGCCGCCATGCGGACTGCCCCACTGGGACCTTTGGTGGAGCTCCCTATGAGGCCACGAAGCGTGCGAAGGGTGTGCCAAAATCGGGTGGCGCCGCCATGCGAACTGAGCCACTGGGACCTTAGGTGGAGCTCCCTGTGGGGCCACGAAGCGTGTGAGGGGTGTGCCAAAATCGGGTGGCGCCGCCATGCGAACTGAGCCACTGGGACCTTCGGTGGAGCTCCCTATGGGGCCACGAAGCGTGTGAGGGGTGTGCCAAAATCGGGTGGCGCCGCCACGCGAACTGAGCCACTGGGACCTTAGGTGGAGCTCCCTATTGGGCCACGAAGCGTGTGATGGGTGTGCCCAAACAGGGCTGCGGCGCCATGCGGACTGCGCCACTGGGACCTTCGGTGGAGCTCCCTATGGGGTGAGTGGTGTCGCCATGCGGATTGCTCCAATGGGATCTTCGGTGGAGCTCACTATGTGGCCACGAAACGTGTGAGGGGTGTGCCAAAATACGGCGGCGCCACCTTGCGGGATGCGCCACCGGAATCTTAGGTACGCCCCATTATGGGGCCACGAAACGTGTGAGGGGTGTGCCAACGTGGGGCGGCGCCGCGTTGCGGACTGCGCCACTGTGACCTTAGGTGGAGCTCACCATGGGGCCACGAAGCGTGGGAGGGGTGTGCCAACATGGGGCGGCGCCGCCATGCGGACTGCGCCACTGGGACCTTACGTGGAACTCCATCTGGGGCCACGAAACGTGTGAGGGGTGTGCCAACATGGGGCGGCGCCGCCATGCGGACTGCGCCACTGGGACCTTAGGTAGAGCTCCCTATGGGGCCACGAAGCGTGTGAGGGGTGTGCCAAAACGGGGCGGCGCCGCCATGCGGACTGCGCCACTGGGATGTTCGGTGGAATTCCCTATGGGGCCACGACGCGTGTGAGAGGTGTGCCAACATGGGGCGGCACCGCGTTGCGGACTGCGCCACTGTGACCTTCGGTGGAGCTCCCTGTTGGGCCACGAAATGTCTGACGGGTGTGCCAGAATGTCGCGCCGCCGCCATGCGGATGACGATGATGCGGATGACGATGATGAAAACGATAATGATGATGATGCTGATGATGACGATTATGCTGATGATGGTGATGAGAGGAGGAGGGAGGAGGCAGCGGGATGAGGAGGAGGAGGGACGCGGGGCGCTGTCTCTTCAAAACGAAGACCCTACACGACATAATGATTGGGGGGAAAACGCTAAAGCAATGCCCAGGGATTTCTTAAGTTGACCCTAGCTTACAAGAGACCAAACATACGGCGCAAAGGCGCCCCACACGAGCCCCTCGAAGAATATATACAAGAAGTGGCACATGTTACGGGATCCTGGTACAGCGCTACGATTGCACGGTGGCAAAACTTGCAGCTGGCAGCTGGAGAAATGCATCATGGGCCGCCCTTCGGTTGATATGAGTCAAGTGGAGAGATCGGTGCAGCTTTCGGTTTGTGAGTTGCTTTGCTATGGATTGGGGATCAAGCTGTCGACGTGTCGATCGCACCATGTACCTGCCCTGCGTTTGATCGAACGGTGTAAACATGCGACGGTCCATCCAACTAACCGTCTATTTCATTATCCACATATTCATGTGGATGACTGATGATGGTGATGGTGATTATATTGTATTTGTTGGCGTGTGCGGTAATCACTGGACAAGCCACGGATAAATGACGATCGGGCAGTAGGCTGCGACGGTATGATCTACTAACAGCATCGCATCAACGCTGGTATTGAGATCCGCTGTCTACCCGAAGATTCCCTCTCTATGGGCTGTAAATCGCTGTGATGTGGATCATGTAAGATACCGCGATCTACCCATATTCTACATGCAGTGCTTGCAGTCAGGGGGCCGCGCATAGTTTTTTGCTGAATGGTTGGGTATTCTGGGTTTTCGTCTGGTGCCCGCCGGTGGGCGCCTACTGGGTGAACCGCGCATGCGGGGATATGCAGGCGTTTCCCCTGGTGCCCGCCAGTGGGCGCCTGGCGGGCGCTCGTGGGGGCGCCCTGCGCTGGAACGATCTGCCGAATTTAAAGCAGCGCGCATCTTACAACACAGCTTGCGCCGCACATTTTACACCACATGGCCTGCACAACAAAGTTTACACGTCCACAGTGTAAGAATTTACTCTTTAAAGGTCCGCGCTGGCTGACATGACGGACAACTACCCCTATTTCTGTATTGTTACCTATAGCGTTGACTTTGGAATTGTATGTCATGTGCATGTTGTACATTGGTTGTTTTGTGCTCCGAACAATGATGTTACTTAGGGGTTCTTGCATCCAAATATTTCAATCATTGGTTGCGCGCGCTGGGTTTTCGGCTGTTGCCGGGGTGGCGGGCGCCCGTTGGCGCTTCGTGGGCGCCTCGCGCTGGGTGCGTTTGCCGAGATTTCGCCCAGTGCCCGCCCATGGCGGACCCCGTGCTCCTCTTCGTCGTCTTCCTCGTCGTCCTCCTCCTCCTCCTCGCCCTCCCCCTCCCCCCCCCCCCGCCGTCCCCCCCCCGCCCCCCTCCCCCTTCCCCTCCCCCTCCCCCCCCCCCCCCCCCTCCTCCTCCTGCTCCCTCCTCTTCTTCCTTCCCTCCTAAGTTTTTTCTCAAACGTGCCTAAGGCCTCTATCAAGATGGCTCGAACCCCCCAGTTCAGTTTCAAAGTGTCTCCCAAGGTCCCCCATGTTGCCCACAAGGGTTCTGGAGCTTCCCTGCCGGGGGCTAACCAACGGGCCCGTGAGGCTGTCCCAAGGGTTCCAGAGGCTCTCCCAAAGGTTGCGGGGCCTCTCCCGAAGACTTCGGGCCACTCGGGCGCGGTGATACTTAGGAGCAAGGCATGGGCAGGGCAATTGCGAAGGCGATGTGCCATCCAGGCTGGATATGTTGAAGTGCTTCGGAATAGGTGTTGACAAGACCTCCTCGGGCGGGAAATCTGGGTCAGGGAAAACTGACCCCTTGTGCAAGAAAAGATCCCCCTATGAGGGGGGAGCTACCATGATGGATGCATGCTGCATGAGAATCGAAGAGCATTTGGGTAAAATGTTTGTTGTTGTTGCTACTGATTTGCTATTGCTGTTGTTGCCATCGCTCTTGTTGTTACAATTCGTGGTATTGTTGGTGTTGTTGTTGCTGCTGTTATTGTGGTTGTTGGCTCTGTTGTTGTTGGTGGTGGTGGTGATGGTGGTGGTGCTGTTGTGAATATGGTTATTGTCATTGTTGTTTTTATTGTTCTGGCTGTTGATCAATACGGGGTCCTTGGAAGTCCAGGCCCCCTCCCCAAGGCCAGCTTTTCGCTCGCATCGTTGCTTGACGGTCCGCGGGCCCGGCGCAGGAAACCGTCCGAGGGGAGGGGAATGGAAGGGCTCTGGGTTTGTTTCATGGCGAACCCCAAGAAGGGGGCGTCCACGCATGGCGGGTCCAAATCCTAGCCTGAGGCATGTGCGCGGCCCGACTGGAGGCCTAGGGACGTACTAGACAAAGAAGAAGGGGCCACTACATCTAAGAAAACGCCATGGCCCTTGCCATGATATCCACATTCCCGGAATCATCGCCCTCTCCTGGTTCCCCCGATTTGTTCGGGTTCCCTACACGTGTGGTGACACACCGTGTGGGGACCTCGAGTCACCGTGCGGTCTGTCACTGCACGGCCGTAGGACCTCGGAAGCCCGAACGCACAAAGCTTCCTGGGAGGCCGACCCGAGTCCCGGAACCGTGCGGCGACCCAAATCCCCGCTGACTCACCACGCGGTGTGGTGATCGTTTCGTCCACCCCGATCTCTCCCCCCCGATCTCTCTCTCTCTCTCTCTCTCACTCTCTCAACCCTGACGGCGGCGGCGGACGGCAGCGGCGGACAACGCCGACGGGCTTCGCCGCGCCCCCCCCCGTGGCTGCCGCGGCGCCAGGCTCCCGCAGGGCCACACGGCGGCGCTGGAACGCCTGCAGCCGCGCGGCGCAGCGCTCGCGGCGCCAGGCGGCGGCGGACCGCCTCGCCAGCGCGCCCCGGCGGATCGCCTCGCGCGGCTCGAAAGCAGAGGCCCCCCCAAACGAGGTCCGAGCAAATGGGGTCGGAGGACCGCGCCGCATCGCCGACCCACCGTCGATGTATCGACGATGCGTCGGCATCGTCGGCGATGCATCGTCGACGCCGACGTCGAGCAAGTCAGGCTCCACATCGAGTTACATCCCCGATACATCGGGGAGCAACGCGATCCACCGGCCCCATCTACGAGGACACCATGTAGTAAGCCAGGCGACGTGGGGAAGGGCCCAGAAGGTTCGAGGCCTTCCGAGCAGTTCCTTCCTCACCCATCCCCCCTCCTCCTCCTGCCTGCCGCAGCGCTCCTCAGCGACTACTTCCCAGGACCGCGACGCACGGCGCGCGCGTGGACGCCGCCGAGGATAATTTGCGTGAGCGTGGGAAGGGCGGGGGGAATGCACTGCGCACGGAATCATGCACTGGACTTGCGACTGTGGAAAACAACGATGGGGTAGAGCGGTGGAGTCACTCAAAGGATGCTGCCCTTCTAAACTATCCGACGTAGTAACTTGCCCGCAATGTAAAACTGTGCGCGTTCTTGTTTATAGCGCTGACGGCATTGTGTGGTAGTGTCGTGTGTGTACTAGCGTCGTGACCGGCTACACTAACTGATATACGTAAGCCGACGTGGACCTCAAACAATTTGTTTGTACCAGTCTATGCGGCGCAATCCTTATAGTGGGATCTCTGTTGTGCAATCAATGTTGTGATACCTACGTGGTGCAATCTATGTTGTGCACTTTCTGCTGGGCGTCCTGCTACGTGGTGCAAGTACAGCGCGATGCAATCTACATGGTGCAAAGCATGTGATGCACTCTTTATGGTGCAATAGCTGTCGTGCAGTCCACGCGGTGGAACATATGCAGTTCAACCTTGGTTGTGCGAACTACGTGGTGCAGCCTAAATGGTGCAATCTTTGTGGTGCAATGTATGCTGCACGCCCGTATGATGCAATTGATTCTGACTTCCTCGCGCGCGACCACCTCCCCTGCTCGAGCAAGCCTCGTACCCACCCGCGCGCAACCTGCTTTGCAAAATTCCATGCGGCGGTGATTGCGATGTCTGCGTGGCGCTGGCTGGCACATCGCTGCGGCCGCGCTGGCGCAGGCAAGCTCGCGCGCAGAGCTGCCAGCTAGTCTGGCGCGACCGACGCGTCCGCGGTGGCGCTGACCGCTGGAAGTTCCCCAGCTCGTGTCGCAAGCCGAGCTGACGTGCAGGCACATCAGTGCGAGTCGGTGGCTCGGGCGGGCGCGGTATCATGGCGACGCGTTGTGGAAACGATCGAATAGAAACGATCATATTGTTCATGAACGACGGCAGGCGTCGATCTTGGTTTGAGTAGGGATTTCCAAATATATTTAGAAATGCGGCCCAAAAGCTCGCACAATGCTTGGGGGGTCCTTCAGCGGGGCCGTGAAGTGTCCACTTCTATTACTGCAAGTGCCTCCATTCTCCGTCTGCATGGAGTGAACTCCGTACAGTGGACAGGCGGACGCATAACAATCTAGCAAGCTTTCTATTGTGGCTGCCGACAATACACTAGTCGAACCTGATGGTCTAGACATGTGAATATGTAAGCAAGGCCGATGTCTCGAGTAATTTCCTTGTCGGCCAAGCCCGGTGCTCCAATGCAGCGGGCATAGCCAGGAGCAGCGCTTCAGCGAAGAACTCGAGAGTGACTCGGAATAGGCTGGTCCCTACTCGCATCTGCGACCGCCTTCGGGCATTGGGCCACTTGTAGTTTCTTTTCAAGCTTCACGTCTGTTTCGTAGTGGCCGCAATCCTCTATACTGCCGGTCTTCGCTCAAGGTCTCACATGGTGATCCAGCGTGTATGTCTACCACCAGTCCAGCACGCACCAAGCTTATCCAGAATGACTTCGCCGCCTCCAGGTGTAGGAGTCCACCCCATTGTGGGTCCCTGGCAAGGTCCAGGCTGATTAAATTGTGCGGGGTATTGTCCTTCTCGATGTAATGTTGTAGGTATTCTTCCCTGCGGCGGCCAGAAAAGAAATGTCAGACGTAGTAGATCTTCACGTAGGGAAGTGTGCATACAATATTGGTGATGCTCGCCGCCCCCTCCTCTGGTTATGATGGCTGGGGTTGAGGTGGTACGTAGCACCCCGCAGATGCGGACAAGAGTGAGGGGGCAGTGGGGACGTCGGCAGTCTGCAAGACTCTGGAGAAGCCCGCCGCAGGCGCCAAAGTTTCACAAATTATACAACGAGCCCGCCGCAGGCGCCGATTTTTTCTTCAAACCACTGTGGATCGGTCGCGGGTGGGTCGCGGGTATGTCGCGGGGTGGGTCGCAAGTGGGTCGCGGGTGGATCGCGGGTGGGTCGCGGATAGGTCGTGGGGTGGGTCGCGGGGTGGGTCGCGGGGTGGGTCGCTGGTGGGTCGCGGGTGGGTCGCGGATCGGTCGCGGGGTGGGTCGCGGGTGGGTCGCGGGGTGGGTCGCTGGTGGGTCGCGGGGTGGGTCGCGGATCGATCGCGGGGTGGGTCGCAGGTGGGTCGCGGGTTGGGTCGCGGGTGAATCACAGGGTTGGTCGCGGGGTGGGTCGCCGGGTGTGTCGCGGGGTGGGTCGCGGGGTGGGTCGCGGGTGGGTCGCGGGGGGGACGACGACAACAAACAACAACAACAACAACAACAACAACAACAACAACACCAACAACAACAACAACTACGACGACGACAACAACAACAATCATTCCAAGACTGTTCGCTCCTACCGGCCCGCGTGTCATTCACTATGCATATCCCAAACCCTGGATACCCGCCCTCTTCGTCTTCGACCGCACCCCCTTTCGGGGGGTTATATTCTTTCCTGGCCACGTGTAATTGGAGAAGCCCCTAAACAGGGAAACGAAAGGGAAACGACAAAAAGAGAGGAAGAAGGGATCGGAGGAAGAGAAGGATTAGAGGGGCAAGAGGGAGGGACGACGATGATTTGTGCCGCGAGTTGCGATTCAGCTTGAGCCATGGCTTGCGTTAGCCATTCCAACACAGGTTAACGAAGGCTTCGCCATGGGTCGCGCCATAAACAGCGCCATGTAACACCTCTGGTGCTGCTCGGCGAGGTGTTGGAGGCGAGGGGGAGGGAATCGGAAGGAGGGGGGAGGCGGCCCGGGAGGAGCAGGAAGGCAAGAGTGCGAACGTTCGAAGAAGTTCTAAGCGAAAGCGCCATTCCACAAGGAAGTCTCGGGCGGCAGCCCACGACGGGCGGGCGATCCTCTGACGGGCGGGTCGGGCGGGTGGGCCATTCAAGCGGGATGCCTCAGTAGGGCGAGAGCGTGATTCCTCAGTAAAGTGTGACGGCGTCCTTGGCGCGAGCGTGGTCCCTGAGCGTAGATAGCGCGATTTCTGAATCAACTGCGAAAAAATCACAGGCGAGAACGCAATTCCTGAAAAGGGGATGTCTGGCGGGAACGGGGGTCTTGACTAAAGCGCAAGGAACTCTTAAGCGGGAGCGCCGTTCTTGAGTAAATTGTGGGGAAGCCTCAGACGGGAGGGGGGGTCCTGACTAAATTACAGGAGGTCACAAGCGGGAGCGCCGATCCTGAGTAAATTGGGAGGAAGTCTCACGCGGGAGCGGGGGTCCTGAGCAAAGTTGGAGGAAGTCTCAAGCGGGAGCCGTTGTTGTTGTAGTCCGGGGGAGCAACAACGCAGTTTGACCCGGACTAAATTGCGAGGAGGTCTCAAGCGGGAGCGCCGTTCCTGAGTAAATTGGGGGGAAGTCTCAGGCGGGAGGGGGGGGGTCCTGAGTAAAGTTGGAGGAAGTCTCAGGCGGGAGCCGTTGTTGTTGTAGTCTGGGGGGCCAGGGCCACAGTTTGACCAGGAAGATTTTCCCTGCCAAAAAACAAGGTGCGAGCGTCGAGGGGCACACTTTGACTGAGAAAAACAACATGCACTGGTGAGGGGGGATCAACAATAATTTTTCGTCAGACATGAGAATTCAACAACAACAACAAGCATAATCCTCTCCACGGATTATCACTTCAGCCACGCACCCAGAGACAATGAATGACCGTTCAGCACCCTCACTCTGATTAGTGCGTCGTCATCCCCTTGCCCATCCGGTACCACCTTTGGTATGACGGGTCCGTCTTCAATGGCTGATAGCTGGGCCCTCGCTTCGTCATATCTCTCACGTCTGGAGGCGGCTCCACGGATACGGTCTTGTTCGGAACAAGCATGGATATGTAGTTGAAGTAAATGGGTCTCTGTAAAGCGTTATCAAATATGCGTGTCTCCGCTTTCGTCGCGTAGCGTGTGAAAACCTCAAGCTCTTGTGTGGTGGTCCATGTCACATGCTTCTCCTCCCCCCCGTGCTCACCCCCCATCCCTCCGCTTCCCTCCTGCGCAAAACAAACTCATCCCTGTCGCGCCCCAAGACTTGTCGATAGGGCAGGCCGGGCATTTCGCCTGAGACCTCGCCACCATGAAGGGCGGGTCGATTTCAAAATCGAATCTCCCGCCTTCGCACGGCGCGCATTGTTCTTAGAAGTTCGCAGCAGTGCACGGATTAAAGACGGGCCGTTTTTAATGTATGGCATTCGCTTCTGGTGCCGCGTACATTCGTCCTCATGGTGTCTAGCAGTTTCACCCACTCGTACGAACGAAATCCAGGGAGTTGCTTTCTGGCACGACTTAACAGCGTCAGGACGCAACAGTCACCATGATCCGCTGCCAAAAAGTCCCATGACTACTGTTCTGACGCGGTGTACGAGTCTCAGATGGTTGTTTTCTACTGCGCCGCTTCCCGCAATGGGAATAAATCCACTGAGGGTATATGAAGAAGGAATTTGCAGGAAGCAAGTACTGCAACATCGTTGATGCGTCTTGGACTTACACTGGTCCTTTTCCCCCTTCTCCTCCATGTCTTCTCCGCATACTGAAGTCCTCCATGTCGCCCCGCACCCCATACGTGTCGGCACGGCAAGCCCAGTGTTCCGCCTGCACCACTGGTGACCCTGAAACTTGAAGGTTGGAGCAGCTTCAAGGGTGAACGGCGGTCGTCTTCAAACTATGGTTCACGCCTTAGCGCCGATGACAGTCTTCTTGACAACTCGCAGCAACTTCAAGGATGGAGGGCAACCCCTGGTCAAAATGTGGTTAATGCTTCAGCGCGGCGCACATTCGTCTTAAACGTCTGCAGCCATTTCAAAGATTCGTTTGGTGGAAATATATGGACTGGTGTGTTGGCGCGGTTGAAGTTGGTCGGGACGCAACGCTCACGCTGATTCGCGGCACTGACGTCCCACGAGTGGTGTTCTGGCACGGTTTAACATTTCCAGGGCGCAACAATCACGTTGACCCGCGGCCCAAGAAGTCCGAGGAACAGTGTTCTGGCACGGATGAGAATTCTCAGACGGTTCCCTTCGAATCCGCCACTTGCCGCAATGGAAGTACATTCGCTTGGGGCCTCTGAGGAAGGACCTTGGAGGGAAGGTGGATTGCAACACCGTTCGTGCGTCTTGGAGTTACACTGGTCCTCCTGTCCCCCTTTCTTCGTCACTTCCTCCCCCTCTTCGTCCTCATCCTGTCAAGCCGTTTCATTCAATCCGTGGTGGCGCCCCAAATGATCGCCCCGCGCTGGAGGGAAAGGAGGAGTCAAAAGGCATCGATCGAACGCGCACTACGAGATAACATGGATTGCGGATCCGTGCATCTGACGCGTGGGCGCAAGACCCACAGGTCAGAATACTCCCCGAAGGATGGGGCCAACCACGCCTGATTTGGCGACGGACAATGCAAAGTTTGTATGCAAGCGGGCTCCATCGTTCACCTACGCGCCTTTATCCATGTGTGCGCTTTTTTTTCTCGAATCCGAACTGTGCCGCTCTCACTGATCCTCGTCGTCCCCCCCTCTTCTCCTTTTTCCCCGTCCCCCCTGGTCCCTGGGGGGGGCGCCCTTGAGAATGCACAGTGCGTGTATACGGATGGCTGTATATGTATGTATGCGTGGATGCGTGCATGCGTGTGTGGGCGTATGCATATACGTATGCATGCATGCATGCATGTATATATGTACGGATGCGTGCATATAGATATGTACGCATGCATGTGCGTATGTGTGTATACGTGCATGTCTGTATGTATGTATGCAGGTACGTGAACGCACACACACACATACATGCGTACACGTATGCATGCATCCATTCATTCATGCAATACGTATACATATACTATGATATACACATATATGCACACATACATTTACATATACGTTTCCACGCATACATGAATGCATGCATGCACGCATACACACAAACATACATGCATAAGGACAACCAGACAGACAGTCATACCGACGTATGTACAAACATACATACATGCATAGAGAATTACAAACAGACGTACAGTCATACATACATATAGGAACACTACAGACACACATGAATACACACATATATACATACATACATACATACATACGTACATACATACAGGCACACATACATACATATGTATATCGACAACTACATGTTGGCATGTATATATATATATATATGCCTATGCATGTGTATGTATGTATGTATGTATGTATGTATGTATGTATGTATGTATGTATGTATGCGTGTGTATATATATGTGTGTATGTATATATACGTATGATAGATCCACGCACGCGCTACGCGAACGCTTAGGTTCTAGTCGCGGTATCATGGCGCCAAAGGGTACCACGGCAAGCGGTGCCATCGACAGCGGATATCGTTCCAGAGAGTCCTGACGGCCGACCCGACTGGAGCCTGGGATTTCTCGCACTGCGCTGCCGGCAGGAGGAAGAGGCGGGGGGGGGAGGAGGAGGAGGAGGAGGAGGAGGAGGAGGAGGAGGAGGAGGAGGAGGAGGAGGAGGAGAGGGAGGAGAAGGAGGAGGAGGAGGAGGAGGAGGAGGAGGAGGAGGAGGAGGACGAGGAGGACGAGGAGGAGCAGGAGCAGGAGGAGCAGGTGGAGGAGGAGAAGGAGAAACGGCGGTGGGGAAGTAAGGGGAGGGGCGGAAAGAGGAGGAGGAGGTGGAGGTGGAGGAGGAGAAAGAAGCGCGCGTGAATAAGCTGGATGAGTGACAGCGTGGAAAACCATGGAAAAAACAATAAGGCCTCAGAGAGCCCTCCGGGGAGGCCTCTAGGAAACATGCCGTGTCGACGAAGTCGCTCGGGGGGCTGTCTGCGATCGTCGGCGTCGCGCAGGCCTGGAAGCGACTCTGGCGGCTCGCGGAGCCTACTTGGGGGCGCTGGTCCTCCCATGCGACGACGTCTTGAATCACGATTGGGAGCCCCAGGGGCCCGAACCACATCGGTCTGGACGTCCTCTTGGGCTGCCGTGCAGCGTGGGGATGCAAAACAAGCTGGATGAGTGAAAACGTGGAACGAACAATGGGGAAAACAAGGCGTGAAGCCTCAGAAAACGTCCCGGGTGACCTTTTGGAAGCATGCCGTGTCGACGAAGCAGCTCGGGGTGCTGCCTTAAGGTGATCGTCGGCGTCGCAGGGATCTTGGAGCGTCCCTGGCCGCTCTGTGACCCTACTGGGGCGCGCCGATCCCTGTGCGGAGCCATCTAGGGACAAGGTTGGGAGCCTCGGGGGCCGAACCGGGACGGTCTGGGCGTCCTCTGGGTCTGCCGTGCAACGTGGGGATGCAGACCAAAGATGGAGAACCCCATGGGGAAACAACATGTTTGAGCTTTGGGGAGTCCTCCTGGAAGCCTCTGGGAGGCCTGTGGGAGACCTGGGGCACCAGGCGGGAGCAGCCTCTGGAGCTCCCTGCAACCTCATGTGGCCCTGTTGGCTCCAGGTCGCCTAAGCCTTGTAAAAACAAAAGAATTGAGGCCCTGGCCCCCCATGCGCAGCCGAGGTCCCTGTGCGGGACCCCCCAGGCCACGCCCCCCGGGATATATATATATATATATATATATATATATGTGTATATATATATATATATATATATATATATATATGTGTATGTATACTCGTACGCACTTCTCCGAGGGAGTAAAGCTCAGAGCCAATTATTTGAAGGCGGCGTCCACGATTTTTCTGGCCGTTTTGCTAGGGACATCCTCGAAATTCTGATAATCGGTGGCACCCGTCACGCAGATCGTGACGTCAGGGTCCAAAAACACATGGGATTTTCAACATTCCAACATGAAACCTTCAAAAACACATGGTAATTTCAATGAGTTTGACCCCGACTTCGCCTGAAACGCCCTCCCAAAATCGAGCCCCGACGTACCTTCTGGTACCCCAGACCCCGCCTCGGAGCCTCTTGGGAGCCTCCTGGGACCTCCTGGGGCCTCCTGGGGCTTTCTGTACATTCTGGTGCCCCAGACCCCGCCTCGGAGCCTCCTGGGGGTCTCCTGGAACCTCCTGGGGCCTCCTGCGGCCTCCTGGAGCGTCTTGGCGCCTCCTGGAGCCTCCTGGGGTCTTCTGGGGCCGCCTGGGGCCTCAGAACAACATGCGCACACAGAGACACACATCACACCCAACACATCACACGCTAGAGAAACATAACACACACACACACACACACACACACACACACACACACAACACCGACAACGCACAGAAAACACGCACAACACAGAGCACACATCACACATACACACACACAACACTCACAATCCCGGGGCTTCCTGGAGCCTCTTCTGGTATCCAAGTCGGGCCTCCTGAGGTTTCCCGGGGGGCCCTGGTGCACATCGCAAGGTGCGGCAACCCCACTTGCGCTCGAGTGCGACCTCGATCTTAGATTCTTCTGCGTTCACCTCCTGCCTCTTCCACTTCTCTTAGGCGCGCCCTGGCGGCGCCGCCCCAGCTTCCCCTTCTCCATCTCCGATCCTGCAGTCATGGTGTCTTCCTGCTTCAAACGCCCTTTCAGTTTTTCTTGTATGAGCCTGGGCACACACGTGCCACTTGTGTGTGTATATATATATATATAAAAACAAGGCTGCATTGGCGCTTCGCGCCATGCACCTTGTTCCTTGAAGCTTTGGAATGGTTGGCCCGTGGTGCCATCCTTTTTTTCCATTGTAGCCGCGGTCCGCTGGCTCGTGCTTCGGAGAAGCGCAGGAAGAGCAGAAAGGAGGACAATCAACCTGGGGCGGGCCAAAACTGCGAGTTGGAGGCCGCGGGCGCATGGAATGGCGCATATGAGCGGGGGCCGCGCGGGAAACAGCTGGAATCCCGGGTTCGCAACCGAATTTTTGGAAAATTGGTTGCGAACCCGGGATTCTGAGCATAATGCGGCTATTCTTCAGGGAATATCAGATGAAGGGGGCGCGGGGCGGCGGAGTGGTGCGATTTCGAGGGCGGCGGGTTTGACGGGCAGGGCGTTGGTCGGCTTGGCTCTTATGAGCCGTCGGGACCCCCTTTTGAGGGCCGCTTGGCCGCCTTGGGGCGCTGAAGCCCTTCGAGTGGGCTCGCGGGGGTTCTCCCGGAGCCTTGTGGAGCGGTCTGACGGTTGCTGTTGTGGGGCCGTTGCGCCCTCCTGCATCTGCTTGAGCAGCGCCCGCTTGCCCCATTTACGGAGGAGCGGAGGAGGAGGTGGGGGAGCAGGAGGAGGAGAAGGGACGGGGAGGAGGAGGAGGAGGAGGAGGCGGCGGAGGAGGAGGAGGAGGAGGAAGAAGAGGATAAAGAGGAGGAGGAGAGGAGGAGGAGGAGGAGGAGGAGGAGGAGGAGGAGGAGGGAGGAGGAGGAGGAGGAGGACGAGGGGGAGGAGGAGGACGAGGCGGAGGAGGACGAGGGGGAGGGGAAGGAACGCTCCAAGACGGCCCTTCTTTGGGCCGTCTTGGAGCGTTCGTGGGCCGTTTTGGACCGTCTTGGGCGCGTCTTGGACCGTCTTGGGGCTTTTCAGGACGCTCTGGGAGCCCCTTGGGCCGTTATGGAGCGGTTTGGGGGGCTTCTTGGGCGGTCTTGGAACGTGGGAAACACGAAAAAGCGAGGACGCTGAAAACATTGAAAAACTAATGGGGAAGTAGCATTTTTTAAATGTTTTTGGAGCCTCACCGGGACGTCTGGGGGGGCCTCCCGGGGCTCTTTGGAGCTCTCCTGGGGCTTCCTTGGGCTCTTTCGGGGCGGGAGGCTCTTATTTTCAGATCGTGGTCCCCCCTAGGGCTCCTCTTTGGGCCGTCTTGGAACGTTCGTGGGCCATCTCGGACGCGTCTTGGGCCGTCTTGGGGCTTTCTCAGAGCGCTCTGGGAGCCTCTTGGGCCGTTGTGGGGCGGTTTTGGGAGCTTCTTGGGCGGTCTTGGAGCGTCGGACACCCGAAAAAGCGAGGACGCTGAAAAAATTGAAAAACTAATGGAAAAGTAACAATTTGGGATGCTTTTGGAGCCTCACCGGAGCTACTTAGGGGGCTTCCCGAGGCCCTGTGGAGCTCTCTTGGGGCCTCATTGGGCCTTCTCGGGGCGGGAGGCTCTTATTTTCAGATCGTGGTCCCCCCTCGGGCCCCTTTTTGGGCCGTCTTGGAGCGTTCGTGGGCCATCTCGGGCGCGTCTTGGACCGTCTTGGGGCGCTCTCAGCGCGCTCTGGGAGCTTCTTGGGCCGTCTTGGAGCGGTTTTGGGAGCTTCTTGGGCGGACCGAGAGCGTCGGAAACCCGAAGAAGCGAGGACGCTGAAAACATTGAACAACCAATGGAAATTCAATGATTTTGTTCTCTCGGGCCCCCTTTGAGAACGGTCTTGGGGCTCTCGCGGAGGGTCTTCAAGGCTACCCGGGTGCTATCCTGGACTGTCTTGGGTGTCTCTGTGGGCTTGCGCCGACCGATTTGGCACTGCCGCCCGCTTGCGTGCACGCCTTGGAAAGGATTTTCGGCCGCCCCCGTGGCACGGATCCGGAGGGTCCCGTTTCGGGGGGGGGTCCGCACCCCCAGAATTATAAACATCTAGAACAGGGAATACGTATGTATGTATGCATGTATGTATGTATGTATGTATGTATGTATGAATGTATGTATGTATGTATGTATGTATGTCTGTCTGTCTGTCTGTCTGTATGTATGTATGTATGTATGTATGTATGTATGTATGTATGTATGTATGTATGTATGTATGTATGTATGTATGTATATAGGTATGTATGTATGTATGTATGTATGTATGTGTGTATGTATGTGTGTATGTATGGATGTATGTATGAATGAATGAATGAATGAATGTATGTATGTATGCATATGTATGTATGTATGTATGTAGGTAGGTAGGTAGGTAGGTAGGTAGGTAGGTAGGTGTGTGTATGTATGTATGTATGTATGTATGTATGTGTGTATGTATGTATGTATGTATGTATGTATGTATGTATGTATGTGTGTGTATGTATGTATGTATGTATGTATGTATGTATGTATGTATGTATGTATGTATGTATGTATGTATGTATGTATGTATGTATGTATGTATAGTGTGTATTTGTGTATATACATGTGTGCATGTATATATATATATATGTATAGAGGGAGAAGAGAGAGAGAGAGAGAGAGAGATATTAACATATGTTCGCCTCCGTGAAGGAAACACCGCCCGCACAACACAGTCGACCTCAGCGCCTGGCACCCTACGGGGCGGGGAAACGTCGAACTCGCCTTGCAAACCGCACGAGGGCAGCCGGGCACCCGCCCGCCCCGTACTACTAACGGATTTAAACCCGGGCCGTCGCGGTCCCGCGCGGGCCACCGGGGCCGGCCAGGGCCGGCCTGCCCCGGGCCACTGGCGCAGGAAGCCCCCAAGCGAGGGGGCATTCGCACGGCTGGGTGAGGACAGCTGCTGCCGCTGCCGCTCCCGGCGTGCGGCGGCTGCTGCAGCTCCCGCAACTGCTCCTGCTGCCGCACGCGCCGGGGGCCCTGGCGCTGCGTGGTATGCAGCGGCAGTGCTGGCAAGCGACGGGCGGGTGGCGGAACCCTGCCGCACAGGGGCCAAGTCTGCCTCCAAGGAAGCGACTGGGGGCGGGAAGGCTAAAACGCGGGAGGAGGAAGGGGGGGGGGGCCTAAGGCCCGTCTGCGCGTGTTCCTGGGACCCTCACCGGAGCAAGGGGAAGATGAAGGGAGCATGGAGAGGAGCGAGCGAGGGGGGATGATGAAAGAAGGGATGAGGAAGAAGTGAGGGGGCATCATGTTGGTCCCCGTCTTGGTCACCTCTGGCATCTCCCACAGCACTGGCGGGAAGCTTCCGGATGCTTGTGATCCCACTCGGGGGCCTCCTGGTGCCCCATTGGGCGACTATCAAGGCCCGCTGTAAATATAGATGAGGCAAATTTGG